CTGTGAGCTTCGGCACACACGCCAGCAACGATTATAAAGTGTGTCGCGGTGACATTGAAGAGTGCAGTGGCTCTGCTGTAAGCGCGCGCGAAGTGCCCTGTTTCGCGCCAAACGGAGATTGCGTGGTGTTCGCACATGTTGGTGAGCGCACAAACATACGCGGAGGTCCTTATGATATTTCAAGGGCTTGAAATATAATTCAGATTATACTTTGCCTTACATCACTGCTTACCGCCAACGTGACACTGCTGCGAAGTGCTGCTGCATCGTGTCATACGGTCACAAGGTGCTTTCGATTTGCTTCGCATTGGATTTGTCCGTTCACCCTAATTTAGCTTTTTCTTTGCCCTCACAGGGCCTACAGTTTGACCGTCTGAAGTAATCGAACTGGTACTGCGCTGGGCGCGGAGTTTCCGTAATACGCGATGCTCCCATCTGGTGAGAATCGTGACACGTCTTTTAAGCTGTATCCGCTGTATTGCCCGAGGAAGGTTTTGTCTTGGTACAGCGCCAGTCTGCAGTTCGTTTCGGGTGTCCCCTTGTATGTCGTTGTGTATGGCACGTGTTAAGACCATTCAATGGGTAATCATACATTCGTTGCTGCGTCTTCGCAGGTCCGGACGACCAAAGCGGTCTCCGAGCGTGGAGCCACGGCTTCCAAGGACATCGGCGACTCGACAAACCTCTGGGCCTCCGAGCTCACCGGCGGCGCCGTGACTAGCGTCTTCGGATGGTCGGGAGACGCTGCTAACGCCCAAAGGGAGCCAGCAAAGCGTGCGGCAAGCACGGAGATGACGGCGCAGCTGCCGGAGCCGCCCCTGGTGCGCGCCGTTAAGCCCGTATACCCATACCACGGGCGATGGATCAAAGTGCGCTTTGATCCCGCGGCCGTTCCTTTACCAGCACCTCCTCCATATTTAAATTTTTTTTGGCTGGTTGAAGCGACGGTGTTCAAGAGGTTACGGACGGTGTATCGACTGTTGACCAGAAGGTCGCGGGAACGAATCCCAGCGGCGGCGGCTAGATTTTCGATGGAGGCGAAATTGCTCGAGACCAGAGTACATCTCGATTAAAGTTCACGTTAAAAAGTCGGACTGTCGTAATGCTGTCGTCGCTTGGCGTAAGGCAGTCAAAACCACGCATAAAAACAGAAAAGAAGAGGAAGCAAGCGAGAAACAGAGAGAAAAGTGAGGAAAACTGGAAGACGAGAAATAGAAGTGACTGAAAATAAAGAGAAATAAATGTGTAAGAGAAGGAGTGGTGGAAAGAAACACAAAACCGAAGACACAAAAGAAGACTTTGCGTCTTTGTGTTATGACTTATAGTGTCTCAGCTCTGCGCCTAATTCTAGGGCTGTGGAAGCTTTCTTCTTCATATTATTATTATTATATTTACCCCGAAACTCGCCCCGCATAACGGTGCGCGTGCGCAGGCCGCGTGCCTGGTGAACCTGGTGTACCTGAACGGCGGCTGGGAGGAAGGCTTCACGGGGGCGGGCGACATGCCCTTCTACGCCAAGCCCGACCGCGCCCACATGGTGCCCATGATGACGCAGCGGGGAACCGAGATGCCCTACGTGCGGCGGCCGTCCTTCTCGTGCCTCCGGCTGCCCTTCGACTGCCAGTCGTCGCACATGGCGCTGTTCGTGCCCTCGCTCCGGTCGGGCGGCGTGGAGAAGGAGCTGCTGCCGTCCATCCGGCGGTGGAGCGACATGCGCGCCGTGCTCGACGCCCTGGCCTGGAGCACTGACGTCACGGTCACGCTTCCCAAGGTAACTGGACCACAAGTTCTTCCGTTTCCAATAGAAGCTCTCAGACTGTTCGGCATACCCGGCGGCGCGAAGGCGTAGCGCAATGCTAGATAACGTGTCCCCCAGTACATGGCCTTCTTGATTGATTTGTGGGGTTTAACGTCCGAAAACCACGCTATGATTATGAGAGACGCCATAGTGGAGGGCTCCGGAAATTTCGACCACCTGGGGTTCTTTAACGTGCACCCAAATCTGAGCACACGGGCCTACGACATACTATTTGCCTGCACCGCAATGCGATCGCCGCGGCCGGGATCGAACCTGCGACCTTCGGGTCAGGAGCCGAGCAACCTATAGACACTGATTAACTGATGCGGATAATATATTTATACGTGCATGGGTTTAGCGAAGTGACAAATCATACGTGCATGTAACGTAAACTAGAGCCTCATTTATGAAAACAAAAATTACACCATCTTCCGCTAAAGGGAACGACGTGTAGATGCGAAACAGCGGGCGCTAACGCTTACACTGGCGGCGACGTTGAGCCTGGCGCTCATCGCTGCGTTGCGTAGGAGAGAAACCTAGAGAGGCGCAAAGCACGCAGCGATAAACCGGTGTTTCCTACTGGACATGCCAATCACTGCTAATGGGCAATGTAAGACAGGCGACTCCGATCGGTTAACACGTACGCTGCTGAATTTTTATTCTTCAACAACGCACAGGAGGGATATCCCACCGGTCCTACATTGGAAGTCAAGAGCCCGTGAATGGTTGTGCAGCGCAAGCAGTTGGTTTTTTCAATCAAGAAACTTACTAGAAGCACAGCCCGCGTCGGCGTTGCGAGGTGAGAGAGGGAGCGTAGGAAAGGAGAAAGAGGGGACACGCATGTGCAATAGAGGTGTAAAGGCCGCGGGGAGGAATGTCTAGAGGAGAAAAAGGAGGGATCAGAGCGAAGGTTAGCAGAGGCTCCCTGCGTTGGCGTTGTGAGGCGAGAGAGGAGGAGCGTAGGAGAGGAGAGAGAGGGGAGAGTGGACTCGCGTGCGCGGTAAGGGTGGTCACGCCACACGCCGGATTGACCTGACTCTGAGCTGCTTCGCATCCAATAAAAGCGAGAAAGCATTGCTCAAACACGCAAGGGCACAGCTTATGGTCCGACACCGCTTCATGTGTTCGTGCATGTGTTTCTGTGCGTACGCGTAAACTTCATGGCGTGTTAATTAGGAACTCCGAAACCTTCTGACTGCGCCACTGATGCACACGTACAAGCACTCCCAACAATGTGCTAAGTCCAAGTGCACCTGCAGAGAAGGTCCACACCTCGCAGGTGCTGCTCGAGTCGCCCACCATAGACCTGCGCAAGTGCCTAAAGACGCTGGAACTCCACCGGTCTTCTTCCCCGACAGACGTCTCCGGTTCGGCACCAAACGCGGCGGCACCGGGCGGCGTCAATGCCTCCAAGGCGACGTCCAACGCCGAAGCGTCTCCTCGAGCGCCAACGTCCAGGACCTCCGGGTGGAAGGCCTGTACCACAAGGCATCGCTGGACCTGACCACGAAAGGCGGCCCGTCTCCCCCCGGTTTCTCAACCCTCCTGTCCGTGTGCTCGACCATTCCACCCAACGAGCCGGTGCGGTTCGTGGTGGATCGGCCCTTTGTGTTCGCCGTGCTCGCCGAAGGACTCTTGCTCATGATCGGCCTCGTCAGGAACGTCCAGAGTAATGTCTAGGACGTCGAAGGGACGCTCCGAAAAAGTACTTCTCGTGACATCTGGGCCTGCCCGCGCATGCTGCGCCTGGGTAGCTTGTGTGTTTTTGCACACATATTTTGTTAATTAAATGTTTATTGCCTGCCGAGGGGCGAGTAGCAAGGGAGCTGGGACCCGGCGCGACGGTACTCTAGCTGTCCAAGACACGTCCTCTATGGCCGTAATGATTAATAAATTCTTTTCTTGATGGTAGTAAACACGACTATGGTTGTGACACCTCAGTAACCGCTAGAGAGCGCGCACGCCGAGCAGGAGTAGGGCGAGAACCGATCGTGCATTGAGGTGCATGAGGCCAAAATCCAGATGGTATGCCCCTTGTTTGACCGAAGTGTTGAACAGGCCATAACACAGTCACCAAACAATTTGTGGTCTTTAGCGAGAAAAACAGAAGTCGAGGGTCCATTAGATCTGCACATATATGAAAAGTAGACTTCAGAATAATATTTCAGTGCAAAACGAACTCTAGAAGTCACCAGCTGTTCAACCCGCCGACCATGCACTGCCATTTTGCTATGTCACCTGTGACGTCATATGAAGCAACGAGTGGTGCCATCGTCTTTTACCAAAGTTTCTGCCACAGCAAATCATTCAATTTCAGTGTCAAGCTAAAGAAGGACAAAGTACCGCAATTTCCCGCGCAGCTCACCGCGCAATCGTTCGCCAGAATACGCTCGTATACATCCATCAACATGTTAAGGCCTGACCACAAGTACGCGTAGCAACGCGTCAGCGCATTTTTTTTACGTGGCATCGCGCCTCTTTCATACGACGCACGCGACCCCGTGACGTCTCCACATGAAATGATCGCGACGCCACGTCAAAAAACCAGGCGTTGACGCGCTGCAACGCGTGCGTGTGGTTAGGTCTATAGGTCCCGGTTCGCTAGTGCGCCAGTGTTGCCCGACTCCCCGATCACTCGCGTGTTTGTCAAAATATTCAACTCTGAATTCAGTGCTCCACCGAATGCGGCAAGATTTCGCCGGCTTGTTTGTGAACCAACTTACGCGACAGAGATTATGGTCGAAACTGGGTGTCATGACTCACGGATCCTTTTCCTTTAAAGGAAAAGGATCCGTGATCCTTTACAGTGCGGCTATGGCAGCGGTGAAGCACGGCTTCCCCGGGAAGCGGGAAATTCACAAACCAGTCATAAGACGAGGGCCTTAAATCAGCGAGGAAGCGAAAACATAACGGGTTGAAAAACGAGCCCCCCCCCCCCCCGCCTCCCTCTCCTCCGTATATATGTAGTCGGCTCGTTTTTCCAGCTGGTTCGCTTGATGAAAACAAAGAAGAAAACACTCGCGAGGTGAAAAAAAAAACGAACAGAAGAAGAAAAAAAAGCTCAGCGCCGTTCTTGCTCCGTGGCACCGTGTCTCGTTCGCGAATGCTTCAACAGAGGGACAGTGCAGCAGTTTACGAAAACGACGCTACACCAGCGACAGCGCACTGGCGACCACGTATATAGGGTGCCTGAATGGTTTCCCTCGCCCGCCGCTCCTTGCAGGGTGGGGACATTGTTTGACGGGGTGCTCGCCGCCGCGACCGGTTTTTCCTGACGGCCGCCGCCATTGCAGATCTCACTTCGCATAGCGACGGGAGCAAAGAAGGAGCTGTGGCCGCTCTGTCATATACTTTTTTAGGGAAATGACTGGGTGCTGCGTGCCCATGTGCACGAACAACTCCAGAAATGGTTGGAAACTCTACCATTTTCCGACAGAGCCCAAAAGAAGGCTGCTATGGATGGTGAAGATTAAGCGAGACAAGTGGCAGCCTACGAAGTCCTCGTGTGTATGCAGTGTGAGTATCCCGACATGTGTTCTTTTCTCGTCGAGAACTTTGAAACTTGTTTTTTTAAATGTGTATACGTGTCTGTGGGTCACTTTGTCGGTGCTGTAAACGCTTCACGTCTAAGTTGCAGTTTTTCTCTCTTTTTTTGCGATCTCTAAAAGTGCAGCTATGGAAACGTGTGGCGCAGCCGCAGTATTTGAAGTTTGTACCAGTTTTTAGTCACTATATGTATAAACAAAATAGGCTGCTTGTTATTAAATTGCGTATTTACAGAAAAGTGTTTTTCATTCGTTTATTGCAAATCACGAAATTCAATAAAAGTTGTGTGGTATACTGTGTCTTTCTAGTAATTCTGTCTAGGCTAAGCTAAGCTAAAATTCATGGTTCATAACGGACTTACAGGCACATTTTGAAGCAAGCCATTTCGAGCAGCACCGAGCTGACCAGTGGATAAAACTGAAGCCGAACGCTGTGCCAACGGTGTTCCCTTTCAGGGGTAAGTTACTGTTTCACTGTGCGTCAAAGATTCTGTATGAACCTAACAGGTGGCAACAGTACAAGGCTAAAATGATTTAGTTTCAAAAATTAGGATGATCCGTGGAATTCCTCGTTGAGGATATTAAGAAAGTCGGGGTACGTGCCTGCGACCTGAGAAAAGGCATATGTCTGCAACCTATAATACTGCTAAAATCCAGTACAGGCCTGTGATTAGAGCTGGCTACCTTGTAATACTTGCAGCTTGTGACTGTCCTTTTTTGCACTGCAGGCTTGCCTCCACAAAGGAAGGCGCCAAAGGACAGGGCAGGACCTGCTGTGTTGCCTGATGCATGCCAAGAAACACGCGGTGACAACTCTACGGCCATTAATTGTACGCCACTCACAAGTGCACAGGCGAATTTAAATTCACGCACAGACAGTCTTGGCGCACAGCAACCGCAAAGCTGCAATTCTCAGACGCCTGATTCAGTACCGCACATTATGGAAAGGGAAGAAGTTGTGATCTCGGCCGATGCACCTGACGGGGCACGTGAAAACAAGCAGTTAAATAAGCAGCTCTCCGATATGGGCAGAAAATACACTCAGCTACATCAAGTCCATCGGAAAGCCACCTCAACCATTCAAGCACTAAAAAAACAGGTGAAAAAATTGGAAACCAAAATGGAATTATTCGGACAGCGTTTGAAATTCCTCAATGATGACCAGCTGCAGGCTCTTGGGCGCCAGAGTAATAAGGGAAGCACTTGGTCTGCAGAAACAATCAAGCAGGCGCTTCAGATTAAGTTTTCCTGTGGAAAAACTGGTTACCAGACACTAAGAAATCTGGGCTACCCCTTGCCATCCGGAAAAACCCTTGCACGTCGCCTTCAGGGCCTCAAGTTTCTTCCCGGAATTTTGACGGAAGTCATCGATGTTCTCAAAATCAAAGCAGAGAACATGCAAGACATTGAAAAGACTGTGCTTTGTTCTTGGATGAAATGGAGATTGCTCGCGGGTACGAGCTCGATCGCGCTGAGGATGTGGTGTTGGGGGGGCAAACTATGCCAGAAAATCCAGACGAACCTGCACATCACGCACTAGTGTTCATGGTAGGAGGCCTGAATACGAGATGGAAGCAAGTGATTGCCTACCACTTCACCGGAAGTCATGTAGAGGGTAGTATCCTCAAGGACTACGTCATGAAGATAGTGCAGCTCTGCGCGGAAATCTCTTTAAGAATCCGTGTCGTCACTTGCGACATGGGGGCTTCTAATCGGGCTATGTGGCGCGAGCTCGGATTCTCCAGCCACAGGAATTCCATTACTGTATGTTCAGTGCCTCACCCCTGTCTGGAAGACAAAGAATTGTTTTTCACAGCAGATGCTGCACACGTGCTGAAGAATGTCAAGTCACAGTTGCTTTCATCGGAAGTATTCTTTCTGAGTGATGCAACAGTATGCCAGCACAATCTGCCATCAAAAGAAGTGAACGTGGACCATGTGCGCAGTGTAATTAAGTATGATGCTGAACGAGAGCTGAAAGTCGCCCCGAGGCTCTCAGAGTTACACATTTCGCGAGGCCATTTCACAAAAATGAAAGTGGGAGTTGCTGTCCGCTTCTTCAGGGAAGCTCCTGCAGCGATTCGGTACCTAATTAAAGAGGACGCGATAGAGCCGGAGGCAGAGACAACAGCTTGGTTTCTAGAATTAGTATTCAACTGGTACACGCTAATGTCTTCCCGCCACCCATCAGTTGCTCTCAGCCTTCGAGACATGCGGAGGTACCACGAATCAATTGAGCTACTGAACTCGGCCCTCGAAGTTTTTCAAGGAATGAAGATGGGAAGCAAGGCACAGTGGAAGCCTTCGCAAGCAGGTTTACTAATAACAACAAAAGTCGTTCTTCGTCTCCAAGACATTCTCTTGCGCAGTGAAGGATACGAATTCTTCCTCACGAGCAGAATCTTGCAAGACTGCCTCGAAAATTTGTTTCGGTGGTGCGCATCAGGAAGCCTGTTCCTAACGCATATGACTTAAAGTGTGCCCTGAAGCTTGTGTGCGTGAGTCAGTTCCTTCATGCACCCGGAACGTCAAGCTACGAAGTCGACGATGCTAAGTACCTCGCCGACATGCTTGCAAAAGGCAAACAAGAGCACGGGGAGGTGGAAGCTGATGTCATTGATGACTCGGAAATTTTGTTCATTGAAGAACTTCAAGAAAACGAATGCAACATCCTTTTCTACATCGGCGGCTTCCTTTTAAAAGGTATGCTGAGTGTTGTAGCGGGATGCGGGCATTGTAATTCTGCCTTGTTAGGCTCAACTGAAAGCGAGCACGCAACTCTGACTATTCTGAAGGAGTACAGGAGTGAAGGTGGCAACCTCACATATCCCAGCAAGGATGTTTTGCTGACACTCAAGTCGTGTGAAGAGCATTTCAGGGGCATCATAAGTTGGAGTGAGGGCTTGCTGCGCTTAAGGTCCCCGTTGAAGGCCGTGACCGATTATTTGAACGAGATGGTGCGCCCTTGCGTAAAGACTTGCTCCGAGCACAGTGACGCCGTAGCAAAACTCCTTATTGCGAATTATGCAAGACTGAGGCTTCGCGTGCATTTGCGCCACGTTAGTTCAAACGGCGTCAATGAACACGGAAGCAAGACGTGCGCTGGGGTAAGCCTTCCGTGACCAGCCGAACTGGACCAGTCACTTATAAATTTTATTATTTTTTCTTTCAGAACACTTATTGTTTGATTAAAATATTTTGAGTTCATTGTGAACTGGCTAACCTCCCTGTCCTTTCTTCATCCTCCTCCTTAAGTTCATAGACATTTTTCTTATTTGTTATACAATATCACATTCTTAGATAAAAACAGCGTTGTGATCTTTAAGCTGACTAAGGTTGTGATCTTTGGAGAATGTTTATGGTAAGTTAATATTATTGCGGTCGAAGCAATACCGACACAGCGTCACAGAGGCAGAATACGAGAGTGATACTTCTCGGATAATTAGATTGCTCGCTTACATATATCTATGGAAAGTAGAAAAACTGAACAGGTATAGGGCATCAAAATCGTTATTACTGCATTTCATCTTGTATTTTCCAATAACTTAGTAAGATTTTTTTCTCAGTGGTCACATAAAAACGAGAGATTCAATTGATGTTTACGCTGTTTCACTATCTCAACCAGCTATAACAGAAAAATAGCTGTGTAACAAATCTGAATCTCATTCCCGCAAGATTATTCAGAGCTGCGAGGGCACGCAAGGCGGGGGAAAAAGCAGGATGAAGTAAGTTCAACGCGTACAATGCGAGCACTACTGAGTGGCTGGCACGCTGCACAGCCACTGAGGAGTGCGGTGAGTTTAGGTAACAGGAAAAGGCGTGCGCTTCATGAATTAATGTAGATTTATCCTGCAAACAGTCTCCAATGACAGACGCACATATTCAGACTGCTTTTTTATAGCGCGAAATACCATTTCTCGCACTAAACTCTTCTCAAACTCTCCTCATACGCGCGCGCAGGCAGTGTGTTTCGTTGGGGTGAGATATGTAATGGCGGACGCTCTAGCAGACGACGCGGTTGTCCCCACCCTGTACGGAGCGGCGGGCGAGGGAAACCATTCAGGCACCCTACACGTATACTCTTACGGGTGGCAAGAGCCAAGGGCGAAACAACGCTACAAGAGAAAAAAACAACAAAAACAAAAGTACCCAGCCACCATCTTTCCCGATCGCGCGCGTATCGTAACAACGGATGTAGGCGCGTAATGCGAAAAGCTACAAAAAGCGAGGAATGAAAGCGAGAGCTCTTAGAAAGGAGCAAGTCGAGTCGGGAATATGTCGTCTCCGGAGAGACACCATATCTCTCTCTCCTCCCCCTCCAACCTCCTCTTCGGGTCATTCTCCGTGCGCGCCAGTCTCGTTCAGCGGCGAGTTCTGGTTTCTTGTCGGCAGCAGCAGCAGCAGCCACACGCTCGCGACAGGTAAACGAGAGAAAAGAGGAGCACAAGCGATCGCGTCGTCAGGACGTTGACAGCAGCGACGGCCACGCGCATGCGCAGATGACGCGAACGGAGAACGTGACGCAGGGGCCCCAACAGGATGGCCTGGTGGGTTCAGTTGGTATCGCATTGCACCTTGCGAACGTCATAGCGCAAACGGACGGATAAAATAAAAAGACATCACAACACACAACGCTGACGTTTTGAGTTGACATCTTTCGTACTACCTGTCTGCGCACGCTGTAATGTTTCTAAAATGCGGGGGCACTACTAGAACCGTCGACCTTCGAGTTAGGTGATACAAAAGTCGCGGGTTCAGATCACAGCCAAGGAAATGGTAATTTTTCGTTCGCTTTCATCATCATCATCATCAGTCTGACTACGTCCACTGCAGGACAAAGGCATCTCCCATGTTCCGCCAGTTAACTCGGTCCTGTGCTTGCTTCTGCCAATTTATACCCGCAAACTACTTCATCTCATCTGCCCGCTTGACCTTCTGTCTCCCCCTAACCCGCTTGCCTTCTCTGGGAATCCAGTCAGTTACCCTTAACGACCAGCGGTTATCCTGTCTACGCGCTACATGCCCGGCCCATGTCCGTTTCCTCTTCTTGATTTCAACTATGATATCCTTTACCCCCGTTCGTTCCCTAATCCACTCTGCTCTCTTCTTGTCTCTTAAGGTTACACCTACCACTTTTCTTTCCATTGCTCGCTGCGTCGTCCTCGTTTGCTCTATTTTACTTCAATTTAAATGGCCTCTCAAAATACAAAAACAAGAGAAAACGAGTGCGCGTTATTCCCTCCTAGCGATTCCCGCGACGTCGACAGTGTAAATGCTCTCGATTATAGTGCATACACGCGAAATAATCAGACGTGATTTGTCTACTGCACTGCTTTCCTACGCAGTCGCCCTCGCGCCAACCTGAACCACAGTATCTGGACATGTCCCCGCAGCGACACACGCAGTCAAACAAAGCGCCACTCCTACATTTAGGATAACCACGCCTGAGCAGCGAGAGGCCGTGCTGCTCATTGCGTGTCCGGATGACCAACCCTGTGCAGTCCGGCTGGCCGAAGACACCGCCAAGACGCGAGGTCTCGCTGCCGCCCGAGGAAGGGGGAATCCAGTATGAGGCTAGTGTCCCGGCAACGACATCCCTTGACCCCCGGCAAGGACAAAACATAATGCATTCTCTCTCTCTCTCTCTCCCGCTCCTCCTTGTCTCTCGTGAGATGACTGTCGTGGGCGATCAACTGATTGCACTTTATTTTGTGAGTTTCCAACTGCGCAAGCGGCGAAGCAGCGATAAGAGCGTGCACTGAGAGAACCCCCACCACCCCGCATTGAAAGACGAGATAGTTCATTTAACCATATGGTGTAGTAGCGCAAATTTGACGGGGACGAAGAGGACAAGAAAACACGACACTCGCTACACGACACTCGCTTTTTTTGTCCTCTTCGTCCCCGTCAAATTTGCGCTACTACACCGTATGGTTAAATGATGTCTCACCAACTAGCCCAGCTCTCAACCCTACTGGACGAGATAGTTGTTGTTTTCTCCTGGCCTTCGCTACCCTTACTTCGCGTGATACATCTTCCTGGCAACTTAGATTTTAAAATAGCGCGAATGGCATCAGCACCAAGCGCTCGAGCCTATCAGGGCTTCGCGCTTCTCAGAACCATTGCAGTAAAGTCAAGAAACCACAATGTTCCCTATGCTTTCCTCTACTTATATTGTCCATCGGTTTCAATGGTTATGTATGTACTATCAGCGTCAAATGAAAGCCGAACAGCGGCAAGCCTTTGCGATATTGTAGTGCGTGCGGTCCAGTTACACCGCTGACAGGCGCGCGCATCTTGTTTGGCAGCTTTGCGCATATATGCGTGCCTGTTCGTAGAGATGAGTGGACGGCACGCACTATACTACCGCGATGGCTTGCGGCTGTTCGGCTTTCATTTGACGCTGATAGTACAAGGGAGAAAAAAAAAACCCACGCAATTTGCCTTACTTTCGCACCTAACTTATTCAGAGTCAATCACACAATCAACCGAAGACGTGAGGCGACAATGTTTTCGTCGAATTCTCCTGTGCTAAATCATACACACTCGGGAGCACTGCAGGAAATTTCGAGTTGGAAAGCTCAGACGCCATATGAAGCGCGAAAATCGACTGTTGGCGGCGTCAGCGTCCGACGTAAACGGGGTCAACACGAGTGATACAAAAAAGAAACATCGTCAGGAGATGGCATCACAATATGACGTCATCACGACGTCACAGATCACTAAAATTTGTGTCGTCCTTACATGACATCGTCGATTGGTCGAAGGTGGGCCGATCACGGAAACCAAGCAAAACCAGAAAGGGTGCAGAAAACTTGCACTGCCTCCGATCCTGGAGGTAATACGAAAACTACGGATCTCACCGAATAGAACCCTGATGGGATGCGAAGTAGCAGCGGTGCGCACGGCGTTGACCCGGTTTAAACAGGCGTCGACACGGGTAATGTAAGAAAGGTTTGAAACGAAACTCGGTGTAGCATTTACTCGAGTAAACGTTTGCTTGAAACGCAAAGACACAGGAGGCGGGTTGGGTTTCGTGTAAGTTTCATCGCAGATAAACGAGCCGAAAGAGTGTTTTCTACTCGAAGTGCGGTTGAGCGTTGCGGGCGGGGGAGAGGGTGAAGCGAGAGAGCAGTGAGTTGCGAGCCGGCGGAGGAGCCGTCAGCTCTGGGCACTGCGGCGAGCAAGCTGCGGGTGAGGGAAAGCGACGTCAGCGCGCAGCTGCAAGGGAAGCGTGCGAGGGGAGTCTGACGTCAACGCGCGGATGCTGCGTGACCTACTTGGCACGGCTCCAACATTCGCGGCGAGGGAAAAGCGTTGCGGCGCGTTCGTATGGACGTACGGCGTTTCACACGTGAGTAAAATAGATGCTTCGCATCTAAAACACGTAAATGGTAGAAAGCTGTCGAAGGGTAGTGACGGTGGATCACCAATCGACTGAGAAGTAAGTACAAGGAAATGATTACTTTTGCCTTCCACTCATTTTAGGCGAATACATTAGGGACCCTGTGAGTTCATTACTATAATAATAATAATAATAATAATAATAATAATAATAATAATAATAATAATAATAATAATAATAATAATAATAATAATAATAATAATAATAATAATAATATTAATAATAATAATAATAATAATAATAATAATAATAATAATAATAATAATAATAATAATTATTATTATTATTATTATTATTA